TCCACAGCATGAGGTAGATCAGGTAACATGTTCTGTCGATTTATCTCTCCCGTTGACCGCATGAAAAAGCTTTTTAGCATACAAAAATGGAGACAGAGGCCATTTTAAATGGTGTGGTGTCTGCGAGCTAACAAATGATAGGTGAACTAGCCACTAATAACTGCCACTTCCCACTGTTCATTCCTCACAGCTGGAATTGCCGTCCGCACTCTCCCTGATGGAGTCAGGCCCAGGAGTTGTATCATTCAGTGGCTCATTAGTTTGATAAACCGTTCTAGCAGAGTACCCGCAGCAGCCTCTGCCAGCAGTGCAGTACTTATGTGACTTCAGGGACTCCTGAAAACTAAACCATCATGAGAAAACAGAACATAGGCAGGATCCGTGCAGCTGCTTTAAAGCTGCACTGTCCTATAAACATGGTTGCTCGCTGTGTCATATCAGAAGTGTAGGGAACTGAATGAAAAGTCAAGCCTACTTTCAGGCATGAAATCTTACTTATTCTTACCTTGAGTGTGAAATACATCCTATATCGTTATGTTAGCAAATCCATTTGGTGCTGATTTTGCAGTACCACTCCCCAGCTCTCTGATTTCAAGAGGCCGGCATTGCACATTTGATTCATATCAGGTCTGCAAAGAACAATACCCTCAAGAAATCTCATCTTGGGTGTAAAACAGTAAAAAGTTAACACAACACAAAAGGGCTAAATAAAGTAATTTCATTTAAAATTTTCAGTGTTTAAAATCATGCTAAATGAAAAATTTAGTTTGAAACAAGATATGTGTTAAAGTTGAGACTAACCAAAGGATGTGACAATTTGTATTTGAATTTTTAATCATAGGGACTTAATTTGTTCTTATTTGGATGTTGCACCTTTAAAAAAATCACAATTATATTTTACGTAAGCATAGGTCTGAAATGTCTCCCTAGACTCGCACAGTGTCAATTTTTTTTCTCAAATTAAAGGTGTTGTGTTCTTTTGTTGTTTCCCTTAATTCAGAGGTTTCATGTCAGGATACTGTAGAGGTAGCCGAACCCTCCCCCTCCATCCTGCCTGCTCCCCTGCAACCCGTTGAAATTCAAGCTGTCAAGTGTCAACTTGCCTCTGAAAGGGAGACCCTTTTCATGTCTGGGCTGTCCTGACACTAACCTGACCTCCAAATCCAAGGGGTTCCATTGGTGAGCAGGTGCCCCCCACCCCAGCTGCTGATCGTGGTGCTACACTCAGATGTACTGGAAGGGAAAGAGATAAGATTACCTTCTGACGGCACATGGGTGGGAAGGGTGACATTGCATGTTATACTGACGCTCACATTTCCACTTATAACTCTTTCCAGCCCCAAATGTAACAGTGCCAGAATGATGCCTAACAGCATATCTATACAGAATGTATAATGGATCATTGTTTACATGGAAGCAAGATGAACAAGGTGTATTTTGGGCAATAGATTCTGTTGACACCATTGTCCTGCATGGTCAAACATCACTATCCTTTCCCCAGTCTATGTGAACAGAAGTTTTTGACAATGAATGAAGTGGTCAGCTATGTGTGGTATAGACTGGTGCACAGCACACAGGGAGCCAATGCAATGGGATCTGTGCATGAACCTGTGTGTAATGTGCTTACCTTCTAAGAGCCCTCACATTGCTGAGTCTTGCAGGCCTCTCCTCACATTTTGAGATAACCACCCCATCCTCTCTGGGCATGGTCATGGCCATTTTATTTCACATTGCATAGTTCTGATTTTCAACACAATGGAATGCTCACTTTGGGCAGTAGCTTCCAGCCTTCACCTCCACATGTCTGCGAGGGCCAGAACATCCAGAGGCAATGTTTCCTGCAAATACCGCGGGCAATGATTCAAGATGGCGGTGGAGTAGCAGGCTGTGTCCGGGCTCTTCTGTATGTTTTCTCTCTTTTTTTCCCTCTCTTTTTTACTTCTGCTTTCTTTTTCATTCATTTTTTACTTCCATTATTCTTTTCTTTGGGAGTCTTTTGCAGTGAGTTAGTCGGCAAAATCATCATGGCAGCTAGAGCAGACCGTGTATAGAATGGCAGCTCCTACCGGAGGTCGGAAGCAGCGGCGGATGTAGCTCCTCACAGCTACTGGAGGCAGTGGCAGCAAGGACATCCTCCTGGTCCTTGGGGCTGGCAGTGGCAATGGCAGCAAAGCTCCTCCAGCGATCAGTGGCAGTGGCAGTGGAGTTTTCAAGATAGTAGCATCAGCAAGTTGACATCTTGGAGGAGGGCGGCCAGAGCAGGACTCTTGATGAGATGGTGGCTGCGGCCTGATCTGGCAGTGGAGCCAGAGACTCCTGGTTGCGGGTGAGTGTGGGTTCAGCACAGGACCTGGCATCAGCATCGACGGTGGCATCGATGAGTTGGGCCCAGCGCCGAAGAGACGGGGCCTACAGAGTGGCGACTCCTATGTTGGTGGGTGCGTTGCATGCAGCAAGGGATGGTGGAGGAAGGGTGGCAGCACAGGTGTTGCTTGTGAGCCAGCTCAGGGCTTAGGACTCTCTTTCAGTTATATCTTTTATCGTTTTATTCTTGAACTATTCAAAATGGCGCTGGATTGTGGTGACTGTTGAAGCTTTTCACTGTATTTTACTGTATTATTGACCATAAAATGCAAGTGACAATGAATCAATAAATTAAAAAATCATATGCTGCAAGTGTGATATTGACGTAGCAAAACTATGAGATTGACATTGCAAAGTTCCACTCCTTGATCAAGGACTGCTGACCAGCAAAACAAGCTCCCTGGTCATGTGCCTGCATTAATAGACAAGGTAAGACAAGGTAGAGATGCTGTTAGCATCCAGGTAGATGTTATATAATGAGTGTTAAGAGAGCAAGCGAGCAGCCCTGAGTTGCAGCCTGGTGCAGTTTGTGAAGTGGGTGCTTGTCCATGTGTGCAAAGTGTCCTTGCAGCAGCAGCCTTTCAATGCTAGTTGCAGGTGAACCCCACATTGTTGATCTCTACTTCCTCAGTATCTTGCCAGTGGATTGGAGAGTGTTATGATGAGAGCTGTCATGGCGGGGTTGGCAATTATTGAATGCCAATATCTATGGACAAGGAATGTGCATGACTAGGGCCTGTAGACTGTGCCCTGAGTTTCTGTTGCATAGTGGCCAACATGGTACCTCACTGCTGCCAGCAATAAGTTAAAATCACCATATATGCACTCTGATATCAATGTCGAGAATTCTCAGTGTCTTGTTTGCTCAGGGTGGGTAGTAGGATGGGAAATTGCATATTAATGAGGGGCAATGTGCAGTTAAAAAGGTTGCTAATAAGCAATAATTTCCCTTATTAGGCAACTCACTGCTGCTTAGCGAGAATCTTGCTCAGAACTTAATTAAAAGATGCGGCAAGTTGTTCCTAGTGTTGAGGTAGCTTCACTGGACTTCTTGGATGATTCTGCAACATTTTTTGCTGTAGCCCACATTGTTCAGGTCCTTGCCATTATGTCTGCCATAAAAACACTTGACATGCCCTTATTCTGTGTGACAATTGGAAGTTTGGAAAAGTATTTGGTGCCTAGAAGAAAGTCCCATTGCTATATATGGTGAATAATACCTTGCACCAAAGGAATGACAGAATCTTGTTAGACTGCAGAGGTTCGTTGTCTTTTCTGAGTCTGGTTTGCCTTGCACATCCTCACTGTCTTTTGATTTTTTTTATCCACGGCCAATATACATTATTCCATGCCAGGTCCTTACTGAGATGCATTAGCATCAATGATTACCTTCTTCCTTATAACAGTAGTTCAGGACATATGTTTCTACTAACAGATCTCATTTGTATGATTCAATGATGAATTTAGGGTCCTCCCTCCAGATGGGATGCCATTTTTTAAGAGCTTTCTCCGTGATAATACTTTGTCAAAAAAGTCTGGTCCTTGTAAGTTCAGGCATCAAGGAAAGATTGTGAAAAGACTGAAATGTCTTGAGTATGCTTCCAGGTTCTCAGACGCAGAAGTGGAGATGTACCATGAACTGGCAGAAAGTCCTCCAATTCTGCTGCCTCTGGAAAGAGATCCTTTAAGAGGTTAATGTTAAGAGCTTTGTTCCTATTGTGATGATACTATGGCTTTAAGTGGTGTCCTTTTTCCTTTTGTTTAAGGGAAGAAAGGTTGCGAAAGAGGTGAACAGTGGTCTGCTCAAAGCCAATAAAGTAAATAGCTTGTGAGGGGGTTTGATCTGGTCTATAACACCACAAACTTAGCTGTAATGCTGAAAAGAGGTAATATCATCAGTACATTACAGTATTGAAAAACCTATTGGTCATGTAAATTATTGTTGCCCTTACCTAAAATTATATATCTCACAGTACTAACTACTCTCATTTCCCTTGATTTGTTTCTCTTTACTGTACCGTGCATCAGTCCATCTCCTCTCTATGCTCACATGCTCAGGACTACCGTAACACTTGCTTACATGTACCTCACATTTTTCACATGACATGCAAAATATGTTCATTCTCAAACATCTCACAAGATTGTCCCTAACACATCCTTGCAAGAGACATTTGTACAGAACATGTAGCAGATGACAGTGAATCCATTGTGAGTCCACCTGCCAAGCCTAAATCCTCTGGAAGACAATATCACAAGCAAGGGAAAAGCCTGTATGTATGTATGTAATTATTTATTTATTTTTAATTTATTTTCTTTTTTTACAGGATATGAGTGTTACTGGCAAGGCCAGCCTTTGATGCCCATCCCCAAATGCCCTTGAACTGAGTGGCATATTCAACCATTTCAGTTGGTAATTAAGAATCAACCACTTTGCTGTGGATCTGAAATCATCAGTAGACCAGTTTGGATAAGAATGGCAGATTTCCTTTTCTAAAAGGCTTTAGCAAACCAGCTGGGTTTTCCTGACAATTTCATGATTCACGATTTACTAATTAAATTCAAATTTCGTCATGGATTTGAACAAAAGCTATTGCGTCATTAGCCTGGGGCCTTTGGATTACTAATCCAGTGAGATTGCCATGACTCTGCCATCTCTCCTGGATCATGACTCTGGTGAGTGCCAACCCTAGAAGACAGGGTATTGAGACACGCTCTTCCTTTTGCCTTCTTACTTCGATCTCACTGTCTTCTGCATTACAAACTGTGGTAGCTTTCATCAGCCAGCTATCTTTCTCAGTACTCCTTTGACACCATGGTGAATCACCAGTCACAGTGGGCAGATGTTATGGGAGAAATAGGATGTCACAGGTTTCAAAGTGCTGCAAGGCAAGACCATATATTTGTCCTGCAGTGGAGGACGGAGATGTTCAAGATCAAACCTTGAAGAAAGTTTTGACTAGCATGTGACAGGAAACACGAGGCACATTGTGCAGCCCTTTAGTGAACTCTGCCCAATGGTTCAGAGACTATGGAGACCTACTATAACTTGTGACTGCGTTTCATTCAGAGCATAGAATTCTGTCCAATACTGAGCAGATGTGAACATTGAAGGGGCGTGGACCTTGACAGAGCTTTTACTGACATTCAGATATCTCCTGAGGCAAATCACACAATGCCATGGAAGTCAGACACTGCCTGCTTTGAAAGCCAGTAGTGGCAAGGGTTTCCTGAATATGACATCACAGTCGGATTCTTTTCACTTAGAGCTGTATGAACAGTGAGGTACAATTACATAGACAGTGGACTTTGCAGTACATCTCAGGATGTTACCATGTCTGCGCACCGCTATCAAATACTCCACCATGCCATTGTGAATGCCACACAGCAAGCTGGGCCGACCTAGTCTCCTTCAATCTACATCCAGACCCTCAAGGTCCAGAGCTATCTCTCAGACATCAGCGACAACAGCCATCTTCATGAAATCTCAGCAGCCATCCATCTTCTGACCTATAGTAACTGTAGACACATAACATTTTTAATACTCTGCTGACTGCCCTTCATGCCCCTGAAGGATCCTAATTCAATATGGCAGAGGGAGTATTAATGATGCAGAATGAGCATGTGCACGTGCAAAATAGAACCTGATCCAATTGTTTTATGTTTGCAAAAGGGGTATAACATGTTTGGTTTTTGCACACATATGTTTCCAAGGTGCAGATTCCTGCAATTTCATCAGCCAGTTGCTGATTGCATAGTAAATAATATGATACTAATTTTTTTACCCCAGTTGTTGGTGTCTCAATGTGTCAGATATCAGGTTTCGGGCAAACCAATTTTCCCCACTTCATTGAATTCACCTTTCAAAACAGGTACTATGAAATTTTGGAAACTCTGAAGTTAGTGTTGATTTCAACTGAATACTCATCACAACCAAAGATGGGTAATTTTAAATTAACCCATCACGTACCATACTGGACAAGGAAACCTCACATTGTATATTAAGAGTAGCCAGTTTAATATCACAAATTTTTCACCACTGCACAAGATTGAGGTTATCCCCTATGAGCTTGGATGTATCCACAGAAGAATTTGGCAGCAGATGGATTGTTAGGAATACGTTTTGAAATATCAATTTCTTCCAGCCTTAAAAAAAGAGATTTCCCATATGCCCAACAGAATAACAATGGCTTGGAAGCAGCATCTATCTTTCAAATGAACTACACTATCGGTATGTAATCATAGCAGAACCTAACAACAGTGATTGCCAAAATAAGTTAGCTACACTGCACATTGTTATTGCACCTGTGCAGACTTTTAGCCAGTTTATTTACTGGCCCATGTTATCTAAATGGCTAAGGACAAAGTGTAATGATGGTTCTGGGAGCAGAAAGCTGGCTGAGTTAATTATAGTTTATCCAAATCTCTGAATATTTGTTCTATGTATGATTGAATAATTTTGGCAACAGTATACAGTTTAGTTGTACTCATCTCTTCACTTGAAACATACCTGATTATCCCTTATAGCCTCGTGTGTTATTTAATCACAATATCGACCCGAGATAAATCTTACATATTTACTGTTAATGTTAAATTTTTGCAACACTTCTATTAACTTTTGGTAAGAAACACTGTTGAATGCTTTTTTGCAGCCAATGAAGCATAGTAAATGTTTTTGTTTACTTATAGTTATTTACTGTAGATTATTCTTGGGTTAAATATTCCGTCTTGTTCATACTCTAGATATAAATCCAGACTAAGTTTCATCGATTTCTACTTCAAATGTAATCTTATTTCTATTTATTTGGTTTTCAAGATCACTTTAATGAGGTGCTTAATTAAGCTTATATATATAAAACGATTGTATTCTGTTGCTTTAATTTTTTTAGGTAACTTAAAGCATGAATGTCTCAAGTCACTTGCAAAGTATATGCTGGTATGTATTTGATCCTGAATTTCTGTTATCTCATTTTATTCTGTTCCTCCAAGGTCTTTTCAACATTTTATTGTTACTTCATCTATGCCTGGAGATTTTCCTGTGCTCTTTAATTTCAAAGTAGTGGCCATATGTGATATCATAATGTTTGGTCCTTTAAATGTCTCCACATCTTGAGGGCTTATGGAAACTAATATCTTAAAGTTATGATAATGGATTCAGATTGTAAAACTACAGCAGTTAGGTAAATGGTTGTCTTTGTTGAGGGGGCAATAGCAAAGGGAACAGGAGAATGGTGTTTTGATGGAGTATTGGGACTGACAAAGGCAAGTCAAAGGTGAGGTAGATGGGGAGGCTTGGACAGGGTATCAAAGGTAGGGAAATGGTTTGGAGGGAAGACTGATGTGGGGTCAGGGCATAAAAGTGCGCAATAGTAAGGAACTAATTTCTTGGCTGTGGTCGAGGGTGTAAGTGGGGAATGGGGACAGACAGAGAAGATAAATAGAAAAAAAGTGACAAAAGGGCAGTGTCACCACTGTCCAAAATTATGTTTTACATGTCAAAATCAGGGTACTATCTCAGACAAGGAACATTCACACTCACAGGTGCAGGGGTGTGGGACAGGGGTGGGGTAATTCAGTTCTGTAGTGGTTAGGGATTGAGGAGAACGCAGATCCAATCTGAGATAAGAATTTTTAAAGGACATGTAGACTGGCAGCACAGTCTATCTGTGCCTCTAAGGATGGTGTGGAGAGGGTCTAGGTTCAAAAGAGGAATCTTCAGGGGTTCGGGGGTAGAATGAGAGTAGGAGAGGTGATAGGTCCACTGCCACATTACCAGCGTAATGTGGGGAAGTTCAAGGGTTATAGTGGGAAGGTGCACAGTGCTATTGAAGGGACAAGGGTGTTGGGGTCAAAGTGTAAGATCACAGTGTATGTTGGAATGTTACAGGCTACAAATTCATTGTCACTTTCATGCTAATGCTGGTTATATCCAAAAACTAACATCTGCCAGGAGTGCAGATCCAAATAGGAGGAAGTCAGAGTGGGGCGCTGCTGTTTTAGGTACAGAAAATCAGAGGAGTGGAGATTCTAACTGCCCAGCAGCAGAATCTCAGGGACATAGATGCTCTCATATCACTGTCAACCTTCTTTATACAGCTCACTTGCTGGAATACCTATGGGTTCCTGCACAACATCAACTTGACACTGACTATAATGGAGTGTCTGTGGACCTCATATGTACCTCTAAATTCCAGCAAAACAGATGAACATTAACAAAAGAAAGTTGACCAACACACAACATTATAGTCTTTTACGCAATAAAAGAGATTTATATCTCTCCTCTACAATGAGGCATGATTGTATAGTTAGTTATGACGAAGCAATTTCCAAAGAAATGATATTGATGCACAATTTAATATTGTGGAAACAATATATTGTACAATATATACAAATGGCAAAGTAAATGTTATAAATGATACAATAAATTCTTAAGCTTTCCTTTCTTACCACTGTGCCTTGGTATGAACCTGACATCAGCAGCTGAAGTGGAGGCACGTTGCTAAATGTGATGCTTCTTTGCCTGTGATGACATTGGCTCTGGCCTACTGAGAGTATCTTGCATTGGTTCAGGTTAAACACCTCAGCCATGCCTACTGAAGGCAATGGGGTCATGGCAGAGGGGAAGAGGAGAGGCTGCTCACTTTGGAAATACCCTGAATGACAACTAGCTGACCCTAGCTCACAACTGACATATGCTCCTGCTCTATCTGACTGCCCCCGATTGTACTTCTCTCGTCCCTGAGGACAGGCAATTAAGGGACGCTCAGGTGCCTTAACGCCCTCCCTTGCTGAGACACTGTTGTATAAAGGCCATGGCTAGTGTGACAGAAGGCAGCTGAGACTGAATTTGCACTGATTACTCAAGCTGGTATTCCATGGCATTCACTACCCTCTATGTGGGGAAAAAAAATTTCCTCACATGCCTAAGACATGGAAGAATTCATGATGGACATGTTCTCATCCGTACTCTGTGCAAAGCTGCACATATACCTGACATCTCCACCATTTGTTGCCCTAACCTCAGTTGCATTTCCAGTGGGCTTCTTATAGTAGCAATGAGAGACCCACAATCAGTGTGGTTCTCAAAGGTAGCCTCTTCACCAGGAGTTCTCTGAGTATCTGGAGCCTTGCTTATTAATGTCTTCATCAACTTCTGAGAAATGTCTGCTGTACTCATAAGAATGTGAACCCGATTCTGAATGCAATCCCTCCGCAAAACTGTTTGGTGTATTCATGCCACTGGAGGTTGCAGGAGAGTTAGGAGATAGTGCAATCTCTAGGTCACCGGTCTCACAAGCCCAAAAGTTGAGTACATGCTAAACGCATGTTCCGGCATTGCAATTTGGCTATTACGTGACTGACGAATAGGGGAACACTATTTCTAAAACGTGAACTTGTGTTGGCTATTACGCAACTCCATTGGTGCTATTTCGTATTGCTATTTCTATTCCCAAACACAACCTCTCTCTTTCAACTCATGGATGAGGGTGCAATAGCAGCTTTTAAAGCTTATTATTTGAGGCACACATTTAAGAGGTTGATTGCAGCCGCTGAGGGAGATAAGGATAGTGTTCTTCAAGTTTGGAAGAGCTTTAACATCAAGAATCCAATTGACATCATTGTGGAGGCCTGGTGTGATATCAGTAAGGACTGTTTGCATGCAGTTTGGAGGAAGCTTCTCCCAGACTTTGATCAAGATTTTAAAATTTTGATCCATCAGACGAGCTCCCAAGAATAAAAAAAAAGCATTGTGTTCATCTTGCAAAGCAAGTTGGATTTGAAGAAGTGGAGAGTGAGGATGTTGAAGAGCTGTTTGAGTCCCACTGTAAAGACCTCTCTGCAGCTGATCTACAACAACTTGTCACTGACGGGGAAGTGGAAGCTGGAGATGAAGGAGATGAAGTCCAGGATGCAGTACCATGAGAGCTTTCCATTTCTGTTTTGTCTTCTATCCTGAGGGAAATTGAGAAGCAGTTGTAGCTCTTGCAGGACCATGTTTAAAAAGTGAAACACAGCAGGGTAGCAGTTAGTGGAATAAGATCCTATTTGGCACCCTATGAACAGCTTCTTCATGATTGATGAAAAAGGGCAAAGAAGCGAAAACTGGATGTCCTTTTTAAGCCAACCCCTAAGAAACAGTCAGAAGACAATGAACCACAGCCATCCACTTCTGCATTAGCTATTTTTCGCCCTGATTCTGCATCCACAACTGCACCTGAAGGTGATCATGATGATGATGATGATGACGACCCTCAGCCCCTGCATTAGCAAAAGAGCAACCTCAAAACCTCCTCCCCCATCAAATCATCTTGACATTTTTTCAAGGTAAGATGTTAAATTTACTTTTATTTCATTATTAGATATGAATTACACATTTATTCAAACTGTGCTATCCTTTGTGTTACCCTTTTGAGTGATTTTTGAGCGATTTTGAGCGATATTTTTTGGTGGTCTGCCCCTAACCCCGCTTTTCCCATAGGCCCCATTATTTCAATAGCGCGATTTTCTATAATGCAATGTTGCACAGGAATGCAATACAACTATCGCGTTATAGCAGAACCAACCGTATGTAATCTCCAGTGACTGAAGCCTGAGATCAGAATTGCAGATATCTGTAACAGGCAACCAAAAGAAACACATAGACTTCTGCAGAGTCTATGAGCACAGCACACAGTCCTGGCACCCATTGCGACAGCTCCAGATTTCATACACTCTTGGAAACAAAATCAGAAATTGCTGGAAAAACTCAGCAGGGGTCTGGTAGCATCTATGGAAAGAAATCAGAGTTAACGTTTTGGTCCAGTGACCCTTCATGAAAACAAAGATCAGACGCTGCCAGACCCGCTGAAATTTTCCAGCAATGTCTGTTCCTGTTTCTGATTTTCAGCATTTTGTGTTTTTATTTGTTCAGGCATTCTCATTCTGCTGCCTTGCTAATCGCGCCTCACAGTCGGCAATGGATTATTTGCTTTTTTCCTTAGCAACCGGAAAAGTTCTGACTGAATAGAGGAGAGACCATGGGATTGGGGACACCGCCAACCATCAGTATCCTTTCCTTCAGATTATGGGCCTACTTATCCTTCAGGGGAAAATGAATATTTAGTGACTCAAAAAAGGTCACTTGGCTCCTTGTCTGCAAAATTCCCGTTACAATGCACTACTGGTTTGTCAATGTGTTAGGCTGCATCCAATCACTCATTCAGTCTGAACTGTCACACACTTTCATCTCAAGTTTTCTGTGTCCTTAGATTCATAATACAATCACCGAACCAGCCTAGCACCTCACTCACAGATAAATATAACCTGATGCCCACACAAGAGAGAATTCCATGCCACTGTGACATTAACCTGAGAGGGTCAAATGAAGTCATTGACTCTTTTCCTGAATTGGTCCAAGGATTTTAGGGGAACGCCATAATTTCTAACATCATCAGTGATCTTCAGCCAAGCCACTTTGGAGAGGGAGGAGACCCAGAAAGATCACCTCACACCATTGCCTGATAGTGTGGAGTGGAAACCGCAGGGAGATATCACTGAATTACTAGGCTGATTCTCTGTCTTGCTTCTGACATTTCCAAAATGATGTGAAAGGGGCTCGAATGTGATGGTACTGTGGGGCGAGGGAGCTGGGACCTAGGATAATAAAGATTAATAAATCGAGGAGTAATTGGAGGAGTATTTTGAGGAGACATGAGTAGAATGAAGTGGTACTCAGGACAAACGCTTCAGACTCTTGATAAAAAGGAAACCAAGAAATTAGGACCTTGATGCAGAGCCTCCCTGCTTTTCCCCACTACTCATTTGTAACCCATAAAGAACTCCGGAACTATCGATTCCCCGATGGAACACACTCCCACTATGTTATTGAATAGGTTCCATATACTTGCCATTTGCCTTACAATTTTCTAAATGAATTGTTCTGCGCAATAGCTCCCA